TTGAGTGCCATGCGGTCAGGGTTCAGAGATTTCGCGCGCGAGTTCGTCACCCATATTGGGGGCGAAGTGAAGCAATTGGGAAATAATGTAGGGAAGTTTTGTGAGGGCGCCATTCAGGGTGCCAAAGCTGTAGCCGCTGTAGAGGGAGAGGCCAGTCCCCGTAAGGATCCAGTGAAACTTAAGTTCCCAGATGCGGACGGGGGGAAGAAGGAAGAAAACTTTGACAACTGGGAAGCCAGAGTCAATAGTTATATTTATTTGCAGCATGCAAGATGACCTTCCTTTCGATGCAGTGTTAGGAATGGATTGGGGAGAGGCAGCAGGGGCCACACTCCAGTTGAGAGAGCATGAGTGTAGGCTCCCTAGTCCGTCAGGCGAGGCTAAGACTGCCCGCTTGTTCCATGTGTCTGGTGTCGACAATACCTTGGCACATTGCTGTCTCAGTGCTCCCGCATTCGCGCGATTAGTCAAAAATGAGCAGTTAGAGGAACAGGTCTTTGTAGTTTATGTTAGACCTGTCACTGAGGCCCAGGAAAAGGATAGTTCCACAAATCCAACAATTGCCAAGCTGCTGGGAGAATTCAAAGACTTGACTGAGTCGTCGAGAGTAGTAGTGTCGCGACCCATCCAGCACAGGATAGAGATAGAGCCTGGCAGTAGAACTCCTAAGGGTGCAGTCTACAGGATGTCCAGTAGAGAGTTAGAGGAGCTTCGCAAACAGTTAGACGACCTCCTTGAGAAAGGTTGGATCAGGCCCAGTTCGTCTCCTTTTGGAGCACCCGTTTTGTTTGTCCCCAAGAAGGAAGGAGAGCTGAGAATGTGTATGGACTATAGGGGATTAAATGCGATCACCATAAAGAATGCTGAGCCGCTGCCCAGGATAGACGATCTTTTAGATCGGGTGCAGGGTTGCAAGTATTTCTCTAAGATAGACTTAAAATCCGGGTATCATCAGATAGAGGTCCATCCTGATGACCAGTACAAGACTGCGTTCCGGACGAGATACGGGCATTGTGAGTTCATAGTGATGCCCTTTGGACTAATCAACGCGCCAGCTACTTTTCAGCGTTGTATGAATGACCTGTTTAGACCATGGTTAGATAAATTTGTAGT